GCAAGTCCACCTTGCACACACCTGTCTTCGCTCAGCAACTCCAATTGGACACGTGGTGATTTCCAGAAGAGGCTCTCTGACTTGAAGGACGGACTTCATCATGTGGATGTCACCTCATGGGTGGCCCAGATCCAGAAGGAGACAGGTGGGTTCTACTCCCTGGAGCACCCCGCGGTGTCCCAGATGTGGCGGCGATCTTGTGTGACCCGGCAAGTGAATGCTAGCTGACAAGCACATAACAAGAGGATGTGTGGAACAGCACCCAGACTGGCCAGGTTATCGATCTCCAGAGCCCGCACACCGTCGAGTTCGATATGTGCTGCTTTGGAATGAGGTCGCCCAGCGGAGTGCCAATCATGAAAAGAACTAGGTTTCTAACGAATTCCAAGAGACTGAAGGATGCCTTGCACGGACATTTCTGCAACGGGCGGCACAAGACCCACCAGAAAATTTCAGGTAATGAGCAGGGTCACAGGTTGAGCCGTTGGTGCCAAGTTTATCCACCTGAATTGGTGACAGCCATGGTGGATGCCATCCTGAAAGAACGGGATGATTGGCTCAGTGCAGCTTGATGTTGTAGACAGGGAGAGCTAATCGAGCCGATCTCCCAGCACAGAAATCGGATCGGGAGATCGCCCGGTTTCCATGGAAACCGGGCGTTCTCCAGGGGGTTGGGTTGTTTCCGCCGATCTCGATGTCCGAAATCTTAACACAGACATCGCCGGAAGCAGAGCATTTGGTAGGACACCGCCCGGTTTCCAAGGAAACCGGGCGATCTCTATGTTGAGAAGCTGGCTTTCGAGATCGGCCCGGTCAGGCTCTGCTTGGAGTTTGCTTAGACGGCTGCTTTGAGGATAGAAATACCAGCAGTTTTGAATGAAATCCAGCTTGGAGCTTCTTCGGATTGTGCTTTGATTGCTCTCACCTGCAGCTTGAGTTGCCCAGTCACCATGGAGCGATTTTTGGTGAAGTCCGACGGTGCAGCATCCGAGAAAACTGCTATGTTGGATGGTGCCAGTGAGGCTGCTGAGTCCGTGCAACTCCCGAGTACGGTGACAGGCACAAGTGAAAATGGAAGTGCTGTGCCGATGATGATCACTGCAGATGACAACCCGATCACGGCGCAGACCGACCTCTTCCTAGCGAACCTCCTGGCCGATGTCAAGCCGTATGGTGGAGTAAGGCAATACCTTCAGTCTCATTTGAATACCCAGATGGCCCAATGTGCTTTCGCAAAGTACATCCAAGAACAGCTGCCCGACAACTCCCCGACTGCCCAATGCGAAGGCCCTTGGCCGGCATATCCACCCGACTGCGACGCCCCGGTCTTCAAACTGGACATATGGAAGTTTGCTTTCTCGAATGACGGCAGCCTTCGTGAGCCACCAACTCTACAGATGTCTGTGTCATTGTGGCAGCGAATCGTCGCGGAAGGATTCCTCACCAAACAGGAGCCCCTCATGGTTCACATGGAGAACCCTTCATCGGATGAAAATTTGGCCAACTTCAGTGTGGGACACACGAAAAGCCAGGGACGCACCCTGACCTTGCTCGCCTTTTTGTGGTACTGCTACAAGCACACAGTGCAACTGCAGGAGTTTGCAACTCGACAACAGTGTGTCGTGTACTTCGCATTGTGAAGGAAAGAAACCTTCTCATGTTGCTATGTTTGACGATGTCTCGGGGGTTGATTCAAGGTGCCCAAGCTCTGGGTGACCGTCGGTGACATCCACTGCAAGTGCTTTTCTTTCAGCTCGGCCAAGGAACGGCTGTGAAGGGCTTAGTCAATGTGAGATTTGAGTTTCATTGCTTGCTCGCATGCATGCAGCCATGCAGATACATACCACATATGATGTATTTCTTCACTCGAGGTTCTTCAACCTTGGTGCTTCGAACCGTGGTGCCATCCGAAAGGCGCCATCAGCGCTATCCTTCGTGTATGGGCTGCGCAGCTTGAACACATCGAGCCCGGAAGACATTCTTCGTTCATGGAACTCCACATGCCCGAAGTGTGATCAGATAACCGGACGGAAATCCATGGTGGTGCAGCTGCTCCTCAATTTGAAGAAGGGCCTGCTGGAGAAGCTGCAGACGTGTGTGTCCCTTTTCGGGTGGGAGCAG